CAAACAGGTTTGTCCTGGAGAGGGTGAAGCCAGAATGCTCCTTGGAGTCAAGGATTCTGAAGCTTCGTCTGACATACTTTGGGCATGTTTCAAGCAGGGACTGGTCCTTGGAGAGGGACATCATGTTTGGCAGAGTGGAGGGGCGGCGAAGGAGAGGAAGACCTTCGATGAGATGGATCGATCCTGTGACTGGAGCAGTGGGAATGAGTGTGTTTGAGATGGCTAGGTTGACACAGCATAGAACAGCATTTAGAGTTCTTGTACCTAGGGTTGGGATGAGTCGCAAGCTACTTGATGGCACATAACAACAACTGGTTTGTTCACAAAGTTAGTATACATTGTTTTTCATACCAGATCATTCCCCTTTCCTTTTCCCACCCCTCCCTCCATCCATCAAATCTGGCAACCCTGTGATTAACACACAGCCCCTCAGACCCATCCTCACCCCTTTGCTCCCACTAGTTGTCTTTCACTTTCTAAAATAATGGTCTTATACATATTTGTCCTTATGGGACGGAGTTAGTTCACTCATCATAATGCTTCCCTGTCCCTCCTAAGTTAGTGGTTTACAAACTCATTGCTCCTATGTGTTGTGTAGTATTTCATCATGTGAATGTACCATAATTTCTCAATCCATTCCATTGTGGTTGGACATTTGGGCTGTTTCCATGTTCTTGCAATATGAATAACACTGCTATGAACATTGGTGTACAGGCCTCCATTTGTGTCTCAGTTCTCATTTTTTTAGGGTTTATTCCAAGCAGTGGAATAGCTGGGTCATATGGAATTTCTATGTTCAGCTTTCTGAGGAAGCACCAAACTGCCTTCAAGAGTGGTGGTACCATTTTACAATCCCACCAACAGTGTGTGAGAGTTCCTATCTCACCACATCCTCTCCAACATTTGTTACTTGCTGCCCTGTTAAACTTTGCAACTGCTACTGGAGTGAGACCGGGTGGCTCCTTGGAGGCAAGGATTCTGAGGCTCCGTCTAACATACTTTGGACATGTTGTGAGGAGAGACCGGTGCTTAGAGAGAGACATCATGCTTGGGAGGGTGGAGGGACGGCGCAGGAGAGGAAGGCCCTCTATGAGGTGGATTGATTCAGTGACTGGGATAATTGGGATGGG